AGACTTACTCATAAACCTTCCACGTTGTTTCTGCAAATTATTTAAAGAATTTCAATTATAAAAATATTTTTTTAAAATTAGATACAATTTTAAGATGTATAATATAATTAAAAATTACATGAGCCCCTATGAAGTCTAAAAAATAAACTCTACTATTTATTATTTAGGAATAATGTAATTTTTTTTCAACAGAGTTTAGCATATGCATGTAGATATATTTGGTAATTAGTTGGTCAAAAAATGAATATAAAAAAAAACAATACATTTAAAATAAATAAATAAAGTTCATGAGTCGTACTACGATGCGAAGTACACAACTTATAAGGCGGGGTGGGATTTTTTTTTTTTTTTTTTTGGGGGGGGGTGTGGCGGACAGGCGGAAAAGGCAGAAGTCAAAATGTGATTAGGAAAAGAGAGAGCAGGGTTTGAAGTGTGAACGCAGTTTTGGAGATTTTTATACCCTTTTCTTGTCTTTCAAAGTGCCCGTGGTGACCGTATTAGGTGAAGGACGGTGACCCTCAATTTTCCCTCCCTTCTTTTCTTTTTTCTTTTTATGGGTAACATTTTTCCTTTTCTTCTTCTCTCCCGTAAAACGAGACTTCTAACCACCATAAGCAGACCGACGGCACAGTCAAAAGCCGGATTTTTATGAGCTTGTTACATGAATTTGTTACAGATGCCTTGTCTCTTAAGTAATTTTAAGTTCCATTTCCATTGCTATCGGATTTGACGTTTAAGATTCTTCTTCGGCGAATTTGATCGAGGCGGGGATCACCAGGGGGCTTCACGAAGGTGGGGCTCCGATTTAACTTTCGCCCTGATGGGGCCCATTTAAGGGTGTTTATGCTAAGTACTCCCTCTATCGGTTTATAATATAAGAAATTAATTTTTTTCACATACTAAAAAAAATAAAATTCTAGTCATTAAATTTGTGCCGAAAAAATAGAGATTTTCTATTTTACTTCTAAAAAGTAATGAAGTTATCTTTGATATTATATTTTGATTGTTTCTCATCTTCCTATTATACTACTTCCGACCCTTAATATAAAACCTTATTTGTCTTTTATTTTAATCATAAATATAAGACCCAAATTCACTTTGTCTCTAATATTTATGTATTTTTTTGAAATAATTTTTCTAATAATGGTGGTTTTATCCAGCACACTTGATTAAGAAGGATATTTTAGGAAAGACAACATCTATTTATTACAAATAACTAATTTAATTTCTTTTTTTAACCTCTTCAAATTAGTCAATTAGCTCTTATAATTAGGATCGGAGGTAATATTTGATAAGGATAAAAATGAAAAAATAATCTTAACAACATTTTATATTTTAGAACATAACTTTCTTTCTAACTGACATTTTATGCTGTAGACCAGAAAGAATATTTATAAGTAAATTTATGTAATTCAAGATACTTTTATTCAAAAAAATCATGATAAAAAAATTATTTTGAAAAGATTCAATTTCGCACAAGCACGAATTCATCGATTTAAGGCTACTGCGTTGTGATTAGTTTTTGATAGAAATTATCATGATATCGTAAGAAGCGAATATAAGCGACAAAAACTTTATACCAAGTGAGTAGTAATTACAAGTTAGAAAAATAAGTACCCATTGTTGTAGGATTTTTTTTATGCTTAAAACACCCCCCCCCTATTTTTCCATTTTTTATCGGGGGACCGACAATCTCCCTGGGCCCACAGAAGATGGCGTGGAAAACTGGTATGGCATACATCAGGAGACTCCCCTGACAATGATGACGCCGGCCACTTACGTTTTTTCTTGAGGGAAACAAACTCCCAATGTAAAAGGTCCCTCTAATCTGTTTGTTTAACGATGCCATAATTAATTCATTTTTGGCGATTAATTTGAATGCCATAAAAATTAGAATAAGCTAACATGAATATGGAAAACAAGCCATGGGAGATGGTAGGACGTTGACCCGTGGGTTTAATTTGACGCTGACAGAAAATTATTATCTCAAATCTAATACGAGGCAAGGGGAAAAACACCAGACTTGTGCCTTCGTCATTCTTATGAAACTCTTGCGCACGAAATAATAAGTACCACCACATGGACGGATTAATGACGTGGCTTAATTTGTGATGTTGGATTAAGCAGAGAGGAGAGGCGGGAAGGTTCAACGTTTTGCTGAAAATGGGCTGCCCCCATGTGTGTTGTTGTTATTAGGCGCTTGCTGCTTTTCGGATGATGGAAAAGCATGGCGTGTTCAGGTGGGCCCCACTTCGACCCACCAAATTCAACAATACGCACCAAAAACCGCTACTATTGACTATTTGTCCGTCTACGCTCATTTTAGTCATCCCTCCCTCCCTCAGGTTTCAACCCAATGCTTTCCTTCCCTTTCCAAACAACCAATTTTCTTTGGGTCCCAATGGGAAAAAGGCAAAAAGAGAGACGGCAGGGGGATTGCCGCCCCCATGACTGAATCTGTCAGCGAATTATGAATTCTGAGTCCAATGAACAGATGAGCGGCTGATATTCATGCCCACAGGTTTGGATTCTGAAACACGGACACGGTTCAGGTCCTTATCCTCAGACTTGTAAAAAATTGACAATAAAATAAAATAAAAAAACAAAACAAAACAAAGCTTGGAACTGGAATTCTCCGACGTTGGTCTGGTTCCATGATGACTCGTCACCGGCCAAACGGAGATAACACGTTTTATACCTCCCGATGGCTGTAGTTTTGGGGGCGGACCACTGACCCACCCACGCATAGAAAGATCAGGCGCACTATGAGAGAATTACCAGCAGGGACAATGACTCGAGGGATATTCACAGAATCACTAGCAGCTCCTGGGGAACTCCGTGAACGAGGGTAAAACGGAGAAGGGATAAATTTGATGCTTGGTGTGAAATGGAGCTCGGATGGGATCTTTGATTGCCCTCGCCTTCTGTCCTTCCCCTCCCCCTTTTGTCCCCGCAACGACTCGGGCTTCGTGAGGACAAATTCTTATATTTTTCTGATGATTAATATAAGACTTATTTAATTAATTTGATTGAATTAAAAAAAGTAAGTAAGTTAGTTAATTATAAGAAATGTGATATATTTTTCTTAAAATACTATAATCATCTTCCTTAATATCTCATTTCCTCTTCTACTTAATTATGGTTGAAAGAGATCCATAGAGATAATTCAGAAAAAATTAATAAATATGATAAATAAATCTTATATTTAGGATCAAAATTAACTTAATAAGTAAGTCCTATATTAAGAACCAAACGAGTAAAATTTTCTTTTCATCAAATAAATTGCTACCTCTCAATTGAGATGTTTATTTTGATGTGTATAATTTTAATCCAATTCACTTAATAAACTAAATTTATAATTTTTCTAAATTATTCTTGTGAATCATATATATTAAAGGGGATTTCATTCATAGAAATAATGACTCAAGCTGTGATTTATAAAAACCATCACATTTATAATAAAAAATTAATTTTTAATATATACAAATTAGGTGGGTGACTTTTATATTTAAAAACAATTAGAGTATTTATTTATGGGAGACAAATTATTACCAATATGAAAATTAGTTCGCACCCTGGTTAGCAGCCACACCCCTATTGAGGCTTCCACAGGGGTTTGATATAATGTTGAAAACTCTCTGCATATGTATATAGTCTTTTTCTCCTAGTAATATTTAGCACTGCCACAGAAAACCACTTGAGTAGTGGATAAGCTAGCATATGGAGTGCGCATCCAAACACGCAAGTGGCAGCCTTCAGTTTGTTTGGAAGACACGCAATATCATCATTGGGAATTTTGGGCCGCGTGTACCTCCTCGTCTCAGGTAATCTCGTAATTCATTCGCTCATTCTTTTCTTCCTTCAGAGTTCTAAATCCATTTCCACCGTGTTTTTTTTTTAACACAAAATTTTAGGAGCTTATTAGAATTAGGATATGTCTTTAGATTCAAATAATGTCTAAATAGGTACTTACAAGTGGCCACCAACAAAACCCTCAAATCGACAAGAAAATTCAAACTTAGAACCTTATAAATTATAAATTGACTTCTTACTGATTGGATTAATTTTTGTTCCTTATATGAGCAAAGTTTGATCAGCAACGTTATTGGATATATGATGAGCTGGACGCGTTCGTGACTTCATGAACAGAGGCCCATGACTTTATGAACCCGTTTTTGGACATGCTGGTGACTGGACAGAGGCCCACGCTGAATTCTTATTCAGAGGGTTATAGCCTTACTTGAACTGGTGAAACAATGAACTTCTTTCATATCCAGATAACATTCCCTTTTTCTTCAAGGAGATGGCGTTTCCATCTTTTGTTGTGAACCAGCATATGATGGATCATGATTTCGTAATTTAACAGAATTTGCTCGAGTTTGCGCTTGGATGAGATGGTTAACATAACCTCCACGGAGCCCAAAAATAAGCCAACACGCACAAAAAACAAAAGCACATGAGATTCTTCTTTCCTTAAGTTTATAAAACCCACATTATACTATAATTTACACTACAAAATAAGTGTTACATTTACGACGGGAGGAGTACTTATTATTAGATAAATCAAAAACTTTAAAAACAGATCATCATCAGAGACATCACGAATGCTCTTGATCTTTTGCTTCAGAAAAGCCAATTCGTCTTGCTTCTTCAGCTTTTCTCGGATGAAAGCGAGTATATTACATTATTTATTATTAAAAAAAAAGAAAAAGTGACGGTTATTTTTTTTAACTATTATTAAAATTTAAATAAAACATTCTGGTTTAAAATTTCAAAAAAAAAACGTGCGTTCCCATATATACCGATAAATTTTTAATAGAATTAAAGAGGATTATTATTTAACTAAAACATGAAGAAATCTAATTTCATGACTCGCGTGGCATGCATGGCAGAAGGAGGCGGAGTGATTTCTATTTTTAATTTGATTAGCTCAGGGATAATTATTGAAGGAGTTCATGAAGCATAAGAAACCAGCTATGATCCATTCGTGGATGAGCAATTTCCGTCTTTGGGGTCAAGGCTTGGTCACTATTGCCTAAATCAGAGGAAAATTTGAGGATGGCATTCAAAGGTTCGTTGCGTCTGTCTCTGTCGTGAGTCTGCATGGGTTCCACTTGCATCCTCAGATCAGGAGGTAGGAACAAAATTGCTCTAGTTCGTCTTCCTTCCTTTGTATTAACGGTGGAAGCGGTGGTGGCAGCTGTGGCGAGCAAAGCCTAATCATGCCTGTCCACCAGCCGTTCGATGGCAGAGCTCTGCCTCTAAACACCACCGTGGTGGCCGTCGACAAAGGCAAGACCAGTGTATATGCCTTCCGGTGGGCCCTTAATCATCTTGATAGTCCCATCATCGTCGCTCTCCACGTTAGGCCAAAACACATTCCACCGCGTAGGTACCCTCTTATATTTCTTCATCACAATGTTTGTGCAGGAATCATCCATTATTGCTTTGCTGTCTAATTAATTACCGTGAACCTCTTGGTGATCGTGTTGTGATTTGAAGATTACGTAGACCAGGGCCTCAAGGTTTTTCCCCCTGAGGAAAGCGATGTAGCCAATGTTTTTTCTGCATTACGAGAAATACGTTCCCATAAGGCGGTATGGAATCAGAAATTTCATTTGTAACTGCAGTATAATTGAATGTCGTAAAAAAAAAAAAAAAAAAGAGTGGTTCCCATTTCTGAATGATATTATGTTGATCTTCCTAGTGTTCAAGCTTACTTCATTCGAATTGATTTGATATATATTCAGGTGACGATAAAAGAAGCCGTAGTTGATGATAGTGATGTTGTCAAAGGAATTTCAGACTTTGCAAACAAGCATCACATCAACAGTATCGTTATCGGCGCAACGGCTAGCTGGAACTCTCTGGCAAGGTCTTTTTCGTCGCGCATTAGGTTATTTATATTTTGTATATAGAATTGCATAAATGTACATCTATAATGTACTAAACAATGATTATATTGCAATTATCAAAGGAAATTTATAGGTTTTGATTTGCCAACGGCCATAATCAAATCAGCTCCAGATTATACTTCTGTGTACATAATTTCAAAAGGAAAGATAATCTCAGCTCGATCAGCCCTACGTCCTATGTCGAGCGTGTTTGTCTCATCAAAGCATCCGCCGGCTCTTCAACTAAATGATGTAGAAAACGGAGTAAGGTACCTAGGCATGAAATTCATTTGCAACTTTGAATCCTTGACACACCTCTTGTGCAAAAACATCAATATAAAGACTACCTGTTCATTGTATTTGGTGTTTGACCGCAAACAGGGAACAGGCAGCTAAAAGAGGAGGGATGGCAGAGGGATCAGTAAGAGCGTCTTCCGAGAGGAACAATAACGGAGTAAGGCAAAAGAATTCTGGCGGTTCGTCGATGGATAAAATCAACTTGCCCAATCGTGGGCCGAAGCCATCAGCTGGCATTGATTCCTTTTCAGACGAAAGTGTTTCCTCAGATCAGACTAATCAAGATATGGGGTTTAGCTTTTCATCTGATGGCTCCAGGGTGTCGTCATCTTCCCAGCCCTCAGTAAGCGCAAAAATGGCCATTCGTGCCTAGACTGTTCTGATAGACCATTAATTAAGCAATTTTTAAGCAGTATAACTTTCTATACTTTGAATGTACCACACATATATATATTATTGCAAAAACATGAATGTTATATAAACAAACGAAAAGATGAAACTTACTCATAACTATAGTATCATTACTTTATTACAGAAAGAACTAGAAGCTGAGATGAAGAGATTGAGGCTTGAACTGAAGCAAACCATGGACATGTACAGCTCAGCTTGCAAAGAGGCGATCTCAGCAAAAAATGAGGTGATTTTTATAATAAAATGATAGACATATTGCAGTAGGACCACCAAAATAAGGCATGATGTTTCTGTTTTGCTGCCAAATGACAATATAGTACCAAATAGTCAAATAAAGGTGGTAAGAATTCGTCGTTTGATAGAGCCAGTGAGGACAATAGTACAGTTGAACTAGAAAGAAAAGGTTATTATGGTTTTGACGGTGCAATTGGTGTCAAATAAAATGATTTAAGAATGGGCAAATATGTGGCAGGCTAACGAGATTAATCAATGGAAACTGGAGGAGGCACGCAAACTTGAAGAAGCCCTCTTGTCAGGAGAGGCAGCTCTTGCACTAGCAGAAAAGGAGAAGGCTAGAGCTCAAGCTGCCATAGAAGAAGCTGAGGAAGCCAAGAAAATGGCTGAGAAGGAAGCAGAGAGGAGGAGACATGCAGAGCTGAAGGCCAGGAAAGAGGCAGAAGAGAAGGACCGAGCATTAACTGCTTTGGCTAAAAATGACGTTCGATATAGAAAATATACTATAGAGGAGATCAAACAGGCTACTGAAAAGTTCTCCCCGTCCTTGAAAATAGGTGAAGGTGGATATGGGCCTGTGTTTAAAGGTGAACTTGATCACACCCCAGTTGCGATCAAAATCTTAAGACCTGATGCTTCCCAAGGCAGGAAGCAGTTTCACCAAGAGGTATGGTTTGCAATTCTTCTGATAAATTGATGCGTAGCTCATATATTGATTATCTTGCAAAAATTCTTCGTGAAAAAAAAAAAAATGACTACCAAGCGCTTTGAATCTATCGAGTGTGAATGGCACATTCAAACCCTGCACCTTAGTTCGAGCTTGCATGGATTTGTTATCAAAACTTTGGTTAACCTTCAGGAGATAAAAAATGGTAGTAAATGTGGACATTATATTGTATTGCTTTTCATTACCAATTTATTATGGTCGTGAAACTAGTAAAACATCACACTACAACACGACTTGCATCTTTGACAGTCTACTTTCTCTCGCAAACATCCACAGGTTGAGGTATTATGCTGCATTAGACATCCTAATATGGTCCTCCTCCTTGGTGCCTGTCCTGATTATGGATGTCTGGTGTATGAATACTTGGATAATGGTAGCTTAGAGGATAGATTACTTCAGAAGAATAATAGCCCACCTCTTTCGTGGAGGTTGAGGTTCACAATAGCTGCTGAAATTGCAACGGCACTTCTTTTCCTTCACCAAAGCAAGCCAGAGCCTCTTGTGCATCGGGACCTAAAACCAGCCAACATCCTCCTTGACCGGAATTATGTGAGTAAAATCAGTGACGTGGGCCTGGCACGATTGGTTCCGGCTTCTGTAGCTGATTCTGTCACACAATATTACATGACTTCGGCTGCCGGAACCTTTTGCTACATTGATCCTGAGTATCAACAAACAGGAAAGTTAACAACTAAATCCGATATATATTCACTGGGGATAATGCTGCTGCAAATTATCACAGCCAAGCCTCCCATGGGTCTTGCTCACCATGTCAAAAGGGCAATGGAAAAGGGAAAGTTTTCAGAAATGCTTGATCCTACAGTGACTGATTGGCCAATTGAGGAGGCTCAAGCATTTGCCAAAGTGGCAGTGACTTGCGCAGAGCTTAGCAAGAAGGACAGGCCTGAACTTGCAACAGTTGTTGTTCCCGAGCTTAACCGATTAAGGAATTTTGCTCTCTCGTCTCGCCCTAATCCTATTGTCACCGACAATCAGAGTCAGGCGGAATGCTCTCCTACACCTACACGAAATTCATGACCAATTACATTAAATAAGAGTCGAGTTTGTGTACTAATTAACCTTGCTAGATTTGCTAGGATCAATACTCTATTTAAGTGTCAAAACCTAATCCTGCATTCTTTCCAAATTTAGTGTTGCATGCAGAGGTTTTGAGAATATAATTATTATTAACTCTGTAAATTAACTCTTTTTCTTTTTTGCCTAGTACCAATTTAAATTGATTTATTTTTCACTAACTAGCAGCCAATCCCCATGAAATGGCGCTTGGAAATGCACACAACATTTAAAGACTATGGAAGATAACACGGAGAATGGAGGTTTCAAGTGTTCATTCTTGACTTGTGACCAATAATAATATGGGGGTGGAAAATTGAATCTTGGGTCTCTTAGTGGTAGAACGTTTGGTGCCAGTTATTTTTGTGCAATAATACGCATTGTTAACCAAACCTTGTGAATGGAAGGTCAACAATATTTGTATATTTAATTTTACCAGTGAGTGGTCTGATGAGAAAACTGATGTCTGGGGCAAAAGATAAGGAAGAATAATTGTCATTTGCAGACTGCATTTAGCTGACAGCAAGCAGAGTTAAGATGAATAATCTAAAGGATATGTTAACGTTTGTGCATGAACGAGAGTAAAGTAGCCGAGGAACAACGTGTCATCGCATGAAAAGCTCTTTTTTCGTTCGATTTTAAAAGTATAGAGAAGAAATTTTCCTAGGATGCAGGGGAACAGGCTTTGCTTGCTTCGCTTGTTGATTAGGTGATGTAACATAAGACAGCCTAGTTTTGCGTTAAGGTCTAAAATAACGCAGGGCCACGATATTAATTGACATTGAGGTACTGTGCTTGAGGGGGACGTTTCAGTGTTGGTTCTCTTGAATTGGAGGGGGGGGGGGGACTCAAGACACAATCATAATATTAGGTCTATTCTGGCGAATACAGTGATCTCCAGCTACACGAATTTGCTAGAACTTGCAAGTGAAAAGGGTTCTCAGAATCCCAGCTAGCAAAGTAAAGCATAACAGAACAGCATAAAGTGTGATGCCTTGTGAGGTGAATTCATCCACATAAAGATAGATTATGTTTGGGAGAAAGGCATAAGAAAAAGAAAGGGAGATACTGCTAAAGAAACTTTGCTTCGGATTCCCTTACCATGAAAATGAAAGATTGAAAATTTGCAATTTCAAACTCCAAGAAGATAACGTAATAATGACTGGCGTTTTTCTTCCTTAATTCTCGTACCTATGGGTCCTTTAATTCTCCCATTATACTGCTCATGGTGCCTGAAAAAACGTACTAAAATAACTCAAGTTTAACAATAAGGACAAATATAAAGTCAAAATCAGCTGAATTTCTTATAATTAACTTGTCTACTTGGTGGGAAGTGCCGAGCAAAGAGTATGCAGAATTATACCCTTTTTCTTCATATGATTTCCTGACTACTATTAGTCCATTAGATTCAAAGGGAAATATCCATATTTATGGAAATACTCCAGTATGATTTCAAGCATTAAGCTTTCACCAATAATACTCTTCCGGTCCTTAATATAAGACCCATTTAACTAATTTGATTAGATTAAGGAAGTTAGGTAAATTAGTTAATTATAAGAAATGTAACACATTTTTCATAAAATACCATAATCATCTTTCTTAATATCTCCTCTCCCTCTTTTACTTGATTATGGTTGAAGAAGTATCTATAGGGGTAATGTAGAGAAAATTGATAAATATGAAAAATGGGTCTTATATTTAGGACCAAAACTAACTCAACAATTGGGTCCTATATTAAGGACAGGAGGAGTAGTTACTGATATCCAAATTTTGGCCTTATGGTAAATATAAATAATGCCATCGAGAAGCCAAGGGTATAAATTATAAGGGGCCAAAAGTGAAAAGGAGAGTATACTTTTCAGCAACATTAAGAAAGCATCTAAATTCTAAAATCAAATTTGTTAAAAAGGGAGGCCAAACACCATAAGGTCACCCATCCAAATTACAAAGTGACACAGTACGGATTTCACAAACAAGGTTTCTGCATTTCTCGGAGCTCATCCCACTTCAATTCAAATGGGTCATCGCAAGAGCTTGGGATTCATCTCAACAAATTGGTTTTCATGGTTCTTAAGAGTTGGGATGGTGGGACTGGCTGTGTTCGCTAGGTTGACATCTCAGGACAAAGTTGAAGCGCCTCAGAGTAACTCGTACTGTATCAGCGAATGTGGCACCTGCCCAGTAATCTGTTCTCCACCTCCTCCTCCACTTCTCACATATGTACCGCCACCCTCACCAGCGGTCCCTCATTCTCCACCACCATCGGCGCCGGCCCACGCACCTCCCCCTCTTTACTTCACCTACCCGCAGCCACTCCCGAAGTCACCGGCGTCGCCACCTCCCCCACCGCCACCAGCTCCTTCAACAAACCCTTCAAGCGCCGCTCCCCCTCCGCCTGCTAAGTCCAACAACGCACCTCCTGCGGAGTCCGGTCAACCGATAGTAATATCAGGGCCACATCAGTACTCTTATCCTTATTACTATTATTACGCCTCAGACGCTTCTTCTCCTTCTTCTTACGCACCATTTATACTCTTACTATTGTTCCTTCATCGGATATTCTCCTCTTGGTGAGCGGGCACAAGAATGCTAAAACATCTGTTCCCGAAAATGCGGGATATATGTAACATGTAATTAGATTTGTTTATCTTTTGTACTGTATGGCGTTCGAAATTCAGGTTTATTATTAGCTTTTTTTTCCTGCTCCATTGATGTAGAAAATTAATAAAATAAAAAGATGTGAACTTTGTTTATTTTATCGCCATTTGCCAATGTGTGCATGTATGGGAACTTTGCTTATTTTATCGCCATTTTAAGCTTTTGGTTTTAGTCTGACTGTCCTCGCTTCAAGGATCAAATTTCTTCAGCATATGGTTAGAACATTATGTAAAACACAGAGGGAACTGATGATATAGAGAATGAAAACACAAAGTTCTAATAAGCGGATCATCCCCAGAAATGCAACTATTGGAAGAACACTTGTTATGATCAGAAACGCGGCGTTATGGAGAAGCCTGGCACGTCATTGTTCAGGAACGCCATTTTGCTGCTGGGAGAGAACCTTCCTCTAAAGGAAACACAAAAACTGGCTTGTGGACTTGAAAAGCAAAAGCCAGAAGGTAGAAAAGTAATCGTGGCCGAGACAAAAAAGCAACGCGCTCCTATCTTCAAATCTTTTATTTTCCTTTTCGGGGACAAGCTTCTATCTTCAACTGTCACCCAAAAAAAAAAAACTTCTATCTTCAAGTCACACGACCACCATTAGTGTTTGCGAGTAGCTTCTGCATTTTTGTTTGATTATTGCCAGATAAACTTTTAAAATATAATCTGCCATCCGATTTAATTGCAACTAATCAGTAACAAAACTTCAAGTTTAGAATTTTGATGTTAAGTTTTGAAGAGGACAAAAATTTTATTTCTTAAACGGACTTACAACTTCATATTTCAAACCTTCGAACTCTGAAATGTATGTTTCCATGGCGTAACTGAAGGTGGATCCGCGTCGAAAAGTTTTGGATCAAGACATGTTAAAATTCTTCCACCACATTGCTCCAATTTGCCATTCCCCAAGTGTTAAAAGGAGGAGGAGTCTCTCTATTGGTTAATTTAAGGCATTGATTTGATATCGGGGACTATATAAAGTTGATGCTGGCAAATTTATTATCTGCACTCACCTAAGAGCCTGTTTGGTTTGAGGGAGGAAAGGGGAGGGAGGGGAGGGAGGGGTAGAGGAGGGGAGGGGAGGTTTTATCCTCACCTTGTTTGGTTTGATTAAAAAGGAGGGGAGGGGATGGTATTTAATGATCCCTTGTTTGATTCAAGGAGGGGAGGGGAGGGATAGTAATAATCAATTTACCATTTTACCCTTACATATTAGTTTATGGTTTTTATTGATATATTATATAATTAATTTACATCTTAATTTAAATCATATAATTTTATAAAAATTCAGTCTTATCATGTTAATATGTGTATTAAAAAATTGGTATAGTAATTTTTTATTCTAATAATATAATAATATATTTAAAATAATCAAATTAACAAATTTTATATGCTCTGAGAAAAATGAAATTTTATATCCTTAGGCTATTTTTTTTCCAGCTTTAAAATATATTTAATAAATAATATATTATAAAAAATTAATTTTATATATATAATTTTTCATTAAATAATTTTTTATTTATAAATAATTTTTATAATATATTTTTAATTATAATAATGTATATATTTTTATTTTTTTACTTAGGATAATATATTTTTTATTTGAAATAAATATTATAATATATTTTATGGGTAGAAGTGAAATATTAAAAAACCATAAGGATATAATGGTCCAAAATTTTGGCTCCCCTCCAAAAACCCCCAATTTGGAGGGGAGCCAAAATGGGGGAGGGGAGGGGACATTTTAGCTCCCCTCCCCTCCAAAATTTTTAACCAAATGAGGGGAGGGGCTCATTTTCCCTCCCCTCCCCTCCCCTCCCCTCCAACCAAACACACCCTAAATGCCTAAAGATACAACTAAGGGTACTAAGGGTGTGTTTGGTTGGAGGGGAGGGAGGGGAGGGGAGGGGAGGGAAAATGAGCCCCTCCCCTCATTTGGTTAAAAATTTTGGAGGGGAGGGGAGCTAAAATGTCCCCTCCCCTCCCTCCCCCCATTTTGGCTCCCCTCTAAATTGGAGGTTTTTGGAGGGGAGCCAAATTGTTAGATCATTATGCCCTTATAGTTTTTTCAATATTCCACTTTTACCCATAAAATATATTATTATAATATTCATTTCAAATAAAAAATATATTATCCTAAGTAAAAAAAATAAAAAATATATACATGATTATAATTAAAAATATATTATAAAAAATTATTTAAAAATAAAAAATTATTTAAATAAAAAATTATAATATTATAAAATTAATTGTTTTTTATAAATATATTATTTATTAAATATATTTTAAAACTGGAAAAAAAGATAGCCTAAAGAGAATAAAATTTTATTTTTCTTAGAGCATATAAAATTTGTTAATTTGATTATTTTAAATATATTATTATATTAATTAGAATAAAAAATTACTGTACCAATTTTTTAATACACATGTTAACATGATAAGACTGAATTT